TAAATAAAAAATTTTAATTTGGTGACATGATAGTAGTCAACATACAAAAATTCCTTGGTCAGATAACTTTTATCTACAACCAAAATAAATCATTTCCAAGCGCATACTCTGCTGTACACTTCATGATACAACTACATGAGGACAAAAGAAAACAAGATGAGCTTCAAGTAGCCTAGTAAGTAAGTACAAATAGAAAAGAAGCAATCAAATAGGGGAAAAAACACTTAATAGCATCAAAAACCTGTAGAAGTTTTTATGCCTCACTAGCTATCAAAAAAACAGAATGCTTACAAATCACTTGATTCATAAACTCATAGTATGTCTGTCATAAAAGCACATAAAACACATAATGAGACCAAGCCACTGAACTTGGGCCACCAAAAGTGGTACTTGCACACTTAAATGAACCAAGGCTAACTCCAGCGCCTTATAAGATAAGATGACATGTTATTCACATGCCCTTACCAATAACATGCAAGTTTGCATGACCTTACATATAACATGCATTTAGTATGACCTTACTCCAAGCACAACATACTAATTACAAGGCACATAACAAGCGATACTTAATTTTATTCGAATAAATACTTATGTATCAAAAAAAAATAGTTTGTGTTTTACTAAAGATTTCACTTATACTTTCACCTAAGCCATTTGACTCTTCATGCTAAAATAATTTGAAATAAACATATCATCCAAACACATCCCACTTGAATATGCACCATAAGCGCTTACAATTCGAGTAAATGTGCAAATAAGGATTTCAACTTTGTACTTTTTTCTATTTAAGGATGTTAACTTTGACAGTTTCTAAATAAGGATGTTAATTTTCAATTTTTTTCTAAATAAGGATGTTTACTTTGTCAGTTTCTAAATAAGGATGTCAACTTTCAACTTTCAACTTTTTTCTATTTAAGGATGTCAACTTTCAACTTTTTTCTATTTAAGGATGTCAACTTTCAACTTTTTTCTATTTAAGGATGTCAACTTTCAACTTTTTCTATTTAAGGATTAATTGAATAGTGATGTTGATGTGGCTAACATATTTTTTTAGGTTAAATATTTGAATTGGTCCCTCAACTTTTATTTTTGAACCAATTCATCCTTGAACTTCAAAAAGTACCAAAAACGTCCTTCAACTTCAATTTTCAATTTCGTCTTTCCGTCAATTAAATGTTGATGTAATTAATTTTTTCGCTAAGTGATTGACTATTTTACATTTTCAATATTAGGTGGAAAATCCATCATGTAAAAGATGATTATGTGGATTTTTTAA